TCCCCTCCTGTGTCTACAGTAGTTCATTACTAGCCCCAGTGCTGGGGAAGCAACCGACGGCGGGCCGGCCATACAGAATACAGAGCCAGCCAGCACGCGCCCGCGCTCGCCTTCTCGCCTGCCCGTGAGTGTGTGTGAGTGTGTGCTCAACTGTCAGCTAGCCGCTGCTTCGCCAAGTTCCCAGGCGCTGGGTGAGCACTGAGGGTAGCGAATCGGAGAAGTTGCCCTTCGTCTCCAGCAAGAAGTGAACGGGGACGAACCATCTTTTTTTCAAGTCCTCAAACTTCACAGTGCTTTTATATTTGTATTTTTATGTGAATCATTTCTTCCAAATTGTATGTCTGTGTATATATTTCTATATTTATTTATTTATTTATATGCGGATGATTTCAATGTGAATACGAGAAAGGATTTCATCATCTGGACGGAGTTGAATGTGCCACCCAGATTTTGTGGAGCGGGGATTGAGTCCGAGTGAGTTGAGCATTGTGTGGTCTATGGTGGACGACCGTGTGCTGTGTGTGGGGCTGTGAGCAACAAGTGGATGATGGAGCAAGATCTATGGATTTATGGACGCTTCCAAACGATTGACGGATATTCCAGCTAAAGAAGGTAGGCAAACTTTTCCTGGTTGTGAGAACGTTTGAAAATGTCAGGTTTTGTTCTGTTTTCGGCCAGAGCTTTGTGTCAAAATCTCGTTTCACAGGCTAGTATTGATTTAGCTGTTCCTCGGAATGCCACATCTAAAAAAATGCCTTTTCCCGAAGAAAATTTTGTGTCAAGGAAAAGGTGGATCCAGCTACGTCTAAATGTCGCCGGTTTTCGATATTTTAAAAATAAAATGTGTAAGAGGTGTGTGTGTGTGTGTGTGTGTGTGTGTGTGTGTGTGTGTGTGTGTGGAGGAGAGAAGGGGGAGGGAGGGGTTCGACCTACCGTGGAGATCGGTCTTTGTCCGTCTCGTACGAATTCTGGTTTTGTTATAGGCTATACTACTATTATATCTCATGAACTTATGTATGCTGCACGTTAATGTCATCTGTGCTAATTTTAAGATGGAGATATTGTAAATCGCCAAGACCTGGATGCACAGGAGTGAGCGCCGTAGAATTTATCTGCTTTATCATTATTATTAGACTACTGCCAACAGTGAGACTTATTCTTCGACTGTGACTGTGAGAGTGTTTCAGTGGTTTAAAAGATTGCTGTTACATGAGCCTGTCATTTTGTAATATCTTGTCTTCCCCGGAGGTGAAGGTGTTGTTGACGTCTGCATTCGGAACTTACTTGACCTCCTACACACATCTGGGAGTCTCCATTCTCCGTGGGGCCAATATGGGGGTAGCCATGAATGACGTCATGAATGCGCGGACGACAATTTGGAAGTTATTTTTAAAAAGACTAGATCTAGACATTTACCGATCTCAGGGGTTGATGGGTGAGGCTGTGTGTCTGTTTAGTGTGAGGTGACTTAGAGTGGTGACGGAGGATTCTTGTGAATGTGTTTTGGAGGGGGCTGGTGGGGGTAGGATGCTGAAAGAGGTGGGGGATGTATTTGAAGAAAAGAGAGAGAGAG